TTATTTCCTTGAGGATTAGGAGGACTAGCATGACAAAGCACATAACAACGAGCACCAAAGCACACATCACCATTCCTCCATGTTTCTGTGTTCTCTCTGCCTGCAAAGTCCAATCCATGCCAGAATGAGAACAGAATCATGAAACAGCTGAATTCAGATCGATATTTGGAAAAGAGAGAAAAACCTTCTGTAACTGTTTGAGGCCTTCTTCAACCGTAGTTGCAACATTCTGAATGTTGTAGTCTATCCGATCAATAATGGTGCCCTGATGAAGAGGAGAAGTGCATTTAGTGATACTGAAAAGTTTGAACCTGTTACCGAGGCTGATGGATTCCTACCTGATCAATCACGAGAACTGACAGATCCTTCATAATCTGAGCAAGCTCATTACTGACTCCACAACCTACATTAAAGAACAAGTATATATAAATAATTAGGCACATAATAGCTATGAAAGCATCTCAGATAAGAAAGGTTCCGTGAGTGATGCACTACTTGCCTGCTCGATCTCCCTTTCCCTCTCAACAGTATACGCTCACTTTGTTTTAGCTTTGACGTCTGATGTTCATTAAACATCTAATAACATAGCTGTGAAAGATTAGAATCTAACACCTAACTTGAATCAAATAAGACCTAATATCTTGATATCCAAAATAAAATTGAGCTCCAAAATCCTAACATGAATTTGGGTTTAGCACCCTAAACTCATCTCTACTGAAATGAGTTAGAATAGATCATATAACGGAAACATGAACAGGAGATGATGGTTTAAAGAAATACCATATCATCCAAGTCATCATCTTCTTCTTTAGATCTATTCCATTAAGATCATCCATATCAGCTCCTTCCTGATAATATACAAGAAACCAATAATTAATTACACTGAAACATCAAGCAGTAAATTCGAATTGTTGACCAGTAGCATTCAGAATGCAATGAAATATTATAACATGCTGCGTTGCCAATAAGAAAATTCCTTTCATTATTCCATTTGCTGCCTGAGGCGCTTCAAATACGTTGATGTTTCTTCGGAGCTCCATTGAAAGGTTCTGAAGGTCAGTGGCAAGTTGACGCTGCCAAAAAGAAAAAGCATGAAAAGAAAGAAATAAAAACAAAATTACAAAGCAATCCTGAATAGCGCATGTTCAAGAGAATAACAACGATATAAATGCCAGAGCCATGGTGAATCAAAGAATAACACCATGTCAACAATACTATCTTCCACTTTTCAACAAAAAAGTGTGTGGGCTAGAAAAATTAAAGATGACTTTTTATCTCTCCCGCCAAAAAAAAAGGAAGAAGGAAAGGAAGCATGGAATACATAATTATGAGAACTCCTGTAGCCTTGACAACAAGGGACAGAGAGAGGACTTGACAACTGCATCATGTCAATACCACCCTCTCCAAACCTGCTACTCGTAACATTTTGGCCAATAGAAAAATTGCCAAGCAACAAGAAAGAATCACATAGTAAAGAATAAGTGGCATACGACCGATGTGTAAATGATTTACATTTCTTGGCTGAACATAGAGCTTCAAAATGAATTTGATAGTCACTACGTCTACCTGTACATTTTCCTGACATTTGAATCCTCGGAAGGTCCAGTAGCAGAGAGTTCTGTAATCTTTCTCTGATCTCTTCAACAGATTAGTTATCTCATTGGTAAGATTCTCAATATTGCGTTGACCTTCTTTACCATCACCAAATGAAGGCATTAAAGCCTTTGCATGAGCCTTGCCTAACTCGGCCATTTTAGCCCGTGCAAGTGCACATTAGCAGCTATTTCTTCAGAAACATCTACCCAAGCGGTGGTAGACTATGGTAGCCGCACCCTTACTGCAAACATAGACAATCTTTTATGTCCTAATAATTATGACCATTAACAGAGTAACAGATGAAATCACAAATGATTGAAGGGAAGAGAACTTCAGAAGAAATGCAATTGTATATCTAATTACTTTCCTATTTGCAAAGCTCTGATCTTTCATTGTATTTGTACTGCATAAACTTCCCATAAGCTCCTGCGACATAGCTCTTCAAAATCAATTAAAATATCTCAGGAGTCACACCTAAATAGTTCTCAAGAGAATTATTAACTGAACAACAAACAAATTCAACCACATTATACGTGCCAGTCTCTCATGCCAATTCCTCGGAAATACAGCATTTTTATAAAAAAAATCCAACATTCCATTAAAATTTTACTTATCCTAAACTCCATAATCAATTTAGAAAAGATAGAAAAGCAGAAAAAATCCGCCAGAATTAATCTAATTTATATTGAACAAGTGCACACATAATTAAAAGAAGAACAATATTGACATTGATCTTGAATTCTTCGTCTTATTATCAAATTAACAGAAAAAAAAAACGATATGATCAATAATAACAGTTCGCAACCGGGCGCTCCGCCAGAGCTCGCCCTCAACCTCGCCGTCGCTTCCGCTGACGAGCTCGTCGGAGCTCTAGCACCCTTCAGCGCATCTCTATATTTATTGAATAACCACGACCTGTTCCTCGTCGCCATTGCTCTCTAAAACAAATTTTAGATATTATCCAAAATAATAAATAATTTAAATACAGATTTAGAATTTAGAAATCTAAATTTGGCGTTTTCTCATGGCGGAGCAATAATGAGGTGAACGGCCACCCGACCGGAGGCCGGCGATTGACCGTTAAGGACAGTTGAAACAACGGCCGAGTCACGTGCCGGCGAAAAATGGTACGTTGTGCGTGGAATTTCTTTTTTCTTTTTGGATTTTTTTGTTAGGCTCTCGGTTTTCCGTTTCAACTTTAGTTTATTAGTGAAATTAATCTACGTTTTTTAGTTCATGTTTAATCGGGTCGGGTGCAGTTGTACGGTCGGGACCCAGATACAGTGAGAAATGACCTGATCCATACAAGCTCATGAGTCGAATCACCCAATTTGGTCTAATTCTAGCTCTAGTCCTTTTTATAATGGTGAGATTTAAAGTTTAATTTTACATAATAAAGTTATTTACTTCTGAAATTGCAATTAGTAGATTGAAATTGATAATTATGTCTGAGTCAAATGATAATAAATTAGAATGGGAAACATTAAATCTCTTAAATAAAATTGGTTTAAATTATGATGTTGTGAATTAAGTAAACTAGATTAAAAGACTACTCTTATAATAAATTTTTATAGAGTAAATTATGGTAAATGGATTTAAAGAAATATTGTTCGCCTAAAGGACCTAGATTTGAGCAGTTGCATTTATAACGTGTGTTATCGATAACTCAGAATATTCTGAATAAACCATTACCTGTATCCGAATTAATCGATCAATAAATCAAATATTGGTAGTTAAATAAATAAATAATAACATTTTTCAATCATTATTAAATTTAAGGTGAAGTACAAAAAATGGTCCCTGATTATAAGGTATTACTTTATTGGTCTTTGACTATTAAAAGTTAAAAAATAATCCACTGACTATAAGATATTATTTTGTGTAGTCCTCAACTATTAAAAGTTACAAATAGTCACTCGACTATTCATATGTTCCAACTCGTCCTTTTTTCGTTAAAAATTTTTTGAGTCTTCCTGACTATTAAAAGTTAAAAAATAATCCACTGACTAGAAGATATTATTTTGTAGTCCCTCAACTATTAAAGTTACAAATAGTCACTCGCTATTCATTATGTTCCAACCTCGTCCTTTTTTCGTTAAAAATTTAACGATCATCTGAGTTTGACGTTAATATGTTGATTGATTATGATATCAATTGTATCATATCTCAATTAGCAGGTTAACATTCACTCGAACTGTTATCAATTTTTCAACGAAAAAGAACGAGTTCAAAATAGCTGAATGTTGGGTGACCATTTTGTAACTTTTAATATCGAGTGACTCAACTAAGTAATGTCTTATAGTTAGAGGAGCATTTTGTAACTTTAATAATCGGGGGGACTCATAGAGTAACACATTATAATCGGACTATGTGTGTACTTAAATTTATTATTAATGAAATATATAATTGATTAATATTTATATACATACTTTAACAATTAAAATATTATTAACAATTAAAATAGAATAAAACCTAAAGATAAATATAGATAATATAAAAACGTCAACACTTACTATTTCCATCTCCACGAAATTCACTTCCAAAGAGGAAAAAAAGAAAAGGCAGCTGTTTCTCTTTCTTATCATCAAACGCAAAGACCTAGCTTGCCCCCTTTTAGTTTCTGGGATTTTTGTTAATTGAACTTCACAAGTCCAATATCAGAGTAAACAGTATTTTAGTTTCTAACCCCAGAAATTAAATATTCCTCTCTTTTTTTTTCAATATTTGGGTTGAAAAGTAACTAAGGGGTGATTTAGATAGGATGCTGATTCATGGACTGCTTGTCTTTCTTCAACCACTAGAGATATTATCAATATGGTCTTCAATCACGATCTGGTAGGTCTTAAAATCCAATTTTTTTATAAAAAGAAAAAGAAAGGAAAAAAACTTGGAAATCCTTTAAGAAAAGATTGTTTTAGTAGATTATTTGTTTGCCTTCTAAAGAGTTGATTTAATGTTTGGAAATGGGTACAAAATGCAGATATGTTAATGGGGTTTGAAGAAATGGATGGAGAAGATGATATAAGAGAAGAATTCCCCTGCCCTTTGTTCAGAGTATTTCGAAATCGTCGGCTTGTGCTGTCACATTGATGATCAGCACCCTGTGGAGGCTAAAAATGGGAGCTTTTGCTTCAAAAGTTGTTTCAAAATTTTGGATGAACTGGTTTCGGACTTTGAGCTCCGTTCAGCTAACTGGAAAAATTAGCTCCGTTATTCTAATTGGAGAGGTGTTTATTGAATCTAAACTCTGTGTATAATGGGTTGTTTCTGTTTGCAGGTATGTCCTGTCTGTGCGGTGAGGGTGGGAGATATGGTTGCGCATATAACCTTACAACATGGAAAATATTCAAGGTAAGTTACTATCGTTTATAACGAATTATATTTGGAATTCATGGTTAAGTTGTTCAACTTCAAAGTCCTTGCCTTTTGTGTGACATCTACCATGAAATCATATTGGAGTCTGCTAAATTTGTAGAATTTGACTGTTGGGTCTATTAGACTATTTCTTACTAAAAATTTTATCACCTTTGATTGATGCTTGGACCATTTTAAAACCATTTGAATCAGTATGCAAGTGAACACTTCTGCCCCCTATCCCCCTACAGTGGAGTAGTAGTAGCATTGCTAGCTTTTCTCTACAACAGCTTGCCATTCTTAGGACTTGATTCATTTATCTTTAATTTTCTTAACGAGTGGTTACATGCAGCAAACGGAAGTCACGTAGGAGTGGATCTCATTCATGCTTTCACTTCTGAGGAAAGAGTTGCGAGAAGGAAACCTGCTGTCCCTCTTGGGGGTTCTTCTTGTACAGTACCCTCATCCATTCCGCACCTGATCCGTTGTTGTCCTCGTTTATTTTGCCTATGTTAATGATTGTATTAATGATCAGCCTCAGTTTTATAGCGAACCAAGCACAGCTAAGACAAGTTCAGACGTGAATAAGACAGAGAGGTAAGTTGTAGTGTGTTTAACATGTGATAGTTCTTTCGTCCCCGGTTGCTTGATGCAGATATTTTTATTTACGTGGTCTTTTATGACTTATCTGGTTATTTGCTTGAACTCCTAGACGATTTAATGGATCTTGACATAAGGGCATGCAAACGATGTATCGTTTTGTACTTTTTGTTTCTCCATTAGACTTTAGCAAGGACAAGATCAGTAGTTTTATAATATTTTATTAAAATGCGAATCCTCGTTGTGCTACCAAGGATTGGAACAAGATTTTCAGCTCCATGTCATGCACGTTATTTTCTGACGTACTTTTCTCTTCAAAAGTTTCGCGTATTGGTCTGTTTTTTAAACAGAATAGTTAGAGTAGGCTATTAACTCTTTGCTAGTATCAAAATGCCCATCTGCTTACCATATGCACAAATATGTATGGTTTAAGTATTAGTCATTAGGGTGAGTGTCTGAGTGTTTTTTTTTAGTGTATCCATAGTTCTCATCTTGTATCATTAGGCTACGTTATTCCAATGAGACTGATGATGATTTGGTATTGGATTTTCCCTCCCAATCGACTTCTATAGCATTTATCGGCTTTCTCGTTTTGATATTTGGCTTTGATAACAGAATGTGCAGTCAACTCCTCTTTCAGTCAAGGATCAGGAAGAGAAGGCAAAAAGATGTGAATTTGTTCAAGGCCTGCTGTTATCCACGTTTCTCGATGATGTTTTATGATGTCATAAAGATGTTTGCTGCAATTATGGACCCGAATCCCTTACAGAGCAACATTCGGTTAAACAGTGAAGAAGAGGCCTATGCTTTATGGGTTTGTATGCTGTTTGTAGTGAATATGTTGATGTATTAAGCATAAATGTTGAGTGAGGTGTAGGAATGAGTGTAATATATGTTGGCATGTGTCGAACAACATGAACATGTGTTGGAACTCATACATGTTATATGCTTTTCAGTGTCAAGCTATTAGTACATAACCATAATATACCAACTGGGTTATCTTGAAGAGCAGGACAGAATGAAATAATGCATTTGTCCAAGAATCCAGCTACCCTCATTTTGCCTATAATTGTGTAATCAAATACCATTACATCTATGTGTTTCCTCTAGCATGTATATCATTTTATGTTTCGAATAACAGTTGTAACCAGTATACGAAATAGTCTATCAAAGTCATACCTTTCCCATGGTTTTCGAACGTAAATCGGTGTGCATAAATGGCTGAACTGGTTATCAAAGCTGTAGCATGGCCTTCTTTCTTCCCAGCACAAAGTAGATGCAAAATCGAAAGAATAACATAACACGAGACGAAGAGAAAAAAGAAGGAAGAACGTGAGCACTAAATGCAAGTAGCATGCTGTACTGAAAATTGACTTTGTCCATCTAAACAATATATTATGGTGTTCAAATGAGAATAGACCACTTCTGGGGGGGGTCAATGGCAGTGAATTGTAAGTATAAAATCAACCAAAAAAATGTTTTCTTTCTAATTTGGTTCTAAATCCTACCCGAAAAGGAAAAAGAAAAGAAAATATGCAGAAAGGTACATTTACTACATCGAAGATCTAAAGACCTAAACTTAACCACCGTCTGGATCTTGTATCCATGATCCTCTTCACTACATCTTTTACAAAAGAATCGAAACAAGTTAAGCAACAACCTTTCATTAAGCTCGCCTGACCAGCTGCCACTCTTTCAATGTGCGCGCATTTGATGACGGAGGCACAATTTGAACCTCGCTACTCCTTTGCTCAAGCCCGCAAGCAGCCAGTAAGGTATGCATGGAACTAGTTGCTATGTCCTTGAGTGTACCGTTGTGCATATACATATAGAAGGCTTTGAAAAGTCTCCAAAAACACAAGATATAACTCAATTACTCACTAGTAAAATCATTCACAAAAACAGTTTAAAGATGGGCTTCACTTGCCTAAATCAATACCGTTTGAGAAGGCTTCAAATGGCTTCTAACCATTGCATGCAACTGTTCCTTGGCCATCAAAATTATCCTCACCTCTAACAGAAAAAGGCAAATCACAACCATCAGGCCTAATGTTTGATTCATTGCTGCAATGACGGAGTTGCTCATTTGAACTCATACAGGCAAGTTCGGGCCACAAAGTCAAGTTGACAGGTGTACCGAATGAAGCGGCTGATGAATCTTGAAACTGCTTGCCTTCTCAAGTGACCCAACCTTGAAGAAAAGAAGTCCCTATTTGCAGTGAAGAAGAGGGATAATCCTGTGACATCTTCTCAAACATGATTTGGGATTGAGTTCCCACATCTTGTGTCCTAGCTTGTTGAACTGTAGATTCCCTACTCTGTTCAATGTGAGAATTTACAAAATCATCGTCCGAATTAGCAGATGATATTCCATCAGCCTACCAGCCATAAGATTCGTTCTATTGATCGAACGAAGATTTTGAATCTGGCGGTGTAACCACCGCCTACCCGTCAGAGTTGGAGCTCCCACTCCAGATACTGGAGAACCAGCTGTAACATCTACACTAGGAAATCTAGGAGATGAAAGACCCACAAAAATGGGAGTTAAAGGCATTCGAGGTGAAAGCACTACATTAGAGTCTAAATTTCTCCTACATTTACAACGGGTGAGAATCTATTGTACAGATTGTTTGTCCTTTGGTCAGGCAAAGAATCTTGAACTTGGGAAATAGAGGAACCAAGAGCTACAGGCCTGCAACCATCACAGTACCAATTACCTTCAGGTACTTCCCGCCCCAAACCAACACAATAGGTGTGCGCTGATGAATCACAAAGATCACAGAGTAATCAGTTCATCATCCCCACCTTGGTGGCATTCAGAACAAAAAACATTCTCATATGGGTCCAGATAGCTTCTAAGTTCTTCCTCAGACGGTTGGTAGACCTACATACAACAAGCATGTCCATTCTAACCATGTGAATAATAAATAAAAGAAAGAAAATGAGAACTATTATGAGAAGAAATATAACCTACCTGATCACGCTTCGGGACTTGGATCACCACCTCTCTCGATCAATTCCTGATGTTGCCCTAGTAGGCTTACTGATTGTTTCAAACCTTTGTTTGCACAATGGGCAACGAGATTCCACTTTTGACCATGCCATAATACAGGTGAAACAAAAATAATGACTGCAGCAGTTCAATGTGCCCCTAAATCTTCGCTTATCTTCCTCAGAGAGACAAATGCCACAAACTGTCTTTAATACTTCAGCCTTCTTTTCTTCTACCTTCTCCTTACCCTTTCTTCCTGGGGGTTTCTGATGCTGGCCTAGCTCCTCAACCTCCTCCATTATCTTCGACGATGATGAACTCCTCAAATTAGTTTTCAAGCTTCGACACAATCGGCTGGCTTCTTCCACTGCTCTCTCTCTTCCTCAGAGATGGTATACTCATTATCAGATGACTCAGATGAGACAAAATCAGAATCGGACGGTACAACATATACTTGTTTTTGCATTCGTTCTGCTTTTCCTCACAATTGGATTATTTTCTGTAAAATCAAAATCATCGTCGTCATCTTCCTCCCTATTTTTCTTTTCAACAAACGTTTCTTCCTTCCCCCTTTTCTGGAAGGCTTTAGAAACTACAGATCTCTTCCTCTTTTTCCTTTGTTAGAAGGACCTTTTTCCGCAACCCTTTCTTAGAACTTTCATATTGTTTTTCTTCTTTTCCACAATCAATTCCTCTTCCTCGTCAAAACAATCTTCTTTGTCCAGGGTGAATTCATCGTCATCTTCGTCATCGTATTCCTCCTCTTCTTCTACTTCTTCTTCCTCTCCTTTCCTCCTCCACCTCATACTCTTCTTCTTCCTTCTCCTCCTCCTCCACCCCATATTCTTCTTCTTCCTCCTCCTCCTCCTCCTCCTCCTCGTACTCTTCTTCTTCTTCTTCTTCATTGATCTCATAATCTTCATCTTCTTCTTCATCTGATAAACTTTTCCGCTTAGGTGGTTTCTCTCCACAACCTTCCTCTTCCTTACCGGAGGCATCTTTTTAGCTTTCGACCTAACAGCCTTTCTCACCACTTTCTCTTCTTCATCAAGAAAACCTCCAAAACCCTCTTCCGATGCACATTCATACAAGGAAGAACAGAACTCTTCCACATCATCCTCGGATTCATTTTTCCTCCGAAACTACATAATCTTCATCTGAACCGTCTGAATCCTCATCCTTCGATCTACCCCTTCTCCTAAAGTTGTTCCTACAACCAACCTTCCCTCCCTTCACCATCTATCCTTACACTCCAAAACAAAAAAAGAAACAAACAATCCCTAATCGACCGAATAAATACCGAGCTTCTTCGTTTCACACAACTAAACACCAAAATCATGAAATGAAATATGAATTCATAAATCCTATAGCTCCATAGTTTCTTCCAAATCAATATGAATATTTAAAGGGAAAAAAATCACCAACGAATCTGTAATACCATAGAAAACTTCAGAAAATAAAGAAAACCCATCATAAAAGGAACATAGTAAAACGTACATTGAACCCAAAAAAGCCATTATCAGACTTCCCGAAACCAGACCAAACAAAATTAACCGTTACCTTTTCTTGAAGTTTTAATTTTTTTCCTCAATAGAAAGAAAACGGACAATATTTCCAGCCATTCAAATCAGGATTCTTTGAGCATAAAATCAAATAAAATCCAACAAATATTACAAAATATTGAAGGCACCCATAAATCTATTTCTCCATCAAAATCAAACCAAAAAAGGGATATAGCTCAAATAGACATGAAAAAATAGAGCAAGAGATATAAATTCTTACCCCGGGAGGAGGAAGACAGCCGAAAAAACAAAGAAAAATGTGATCTTTTTTGCTTGCAATGTCTGGGAATTTGTTTTTTCGGCCGCAGCTTGGTTCCTTTTTTTCGCTGTTTTTACGTTGCTATTTTTAAAAAATATATATATATACATTTGTGCTGTTTTGAAAAATAAAAATAAAATCGAAAAACGTTTTGATAATAACAATGATAAATAATATGGGCTACGCAAACTTCGTGGTGTTGATCCGAAAGTACGGAAATACCCTTGGCCCTTGTGGAGCAGTTTAACTGTAATTTTGACTTGGGTTCTGATTTTGTTCATGTAATGGACTCCCAAATACAGGGGGTGTTCACGAATTAATCGATCAGGATTAAATGGTCAGTTATTAAAATTAGTTTATTCAAAAATAGTTAATTTTTTAATATTCGATTAATGGTTAATTTATTTTGGAATGGGTAATTAATATAATTAATTAAAATTATTAAATATTTAATATATTATATTAAGATTAATAGTAAGAAATAAGAAGATATTCACTGGAAAAAATAAAGAATTAATATCAATCATCTGTTTTCACTCATTTAACTATTCTAAAACGTGTATAAATTAAAAGAGATTTACATTATATAAGTGGATCATAACTCTATTGTATATATTAAATACATATTTTAAGTTCAAATTTATTCAGAACTTAGGCCCAACTAATTTTTAACCGACCCATTGGATTGTCAAAATTTAATTAAATTTTAACCCAAATAAAAAAATACTTATATTAAACTTAAATTAATCTAACTAAAAAATATAAAAAAATTGTTACCAAACTTTATTCGATTTAGTTAATAATTTAAAAAATCGGTTCGATTAACGATTAAAAAAAGTTTTGATTAATTCAATTTTTGGGAATTTTGTCGGTTTGATGGCCGAACTGACCGTTTGAATACTTATACC